TTTCAAGAGTAATCGACGAATACCTCAAGTTAAAAACCAAGTCAGCATGTGTAAGACTTACTACAACCATTGGAGTAATACTCAAATTTAAGCTTCTAAATCTACTTCAACTTGCTCCAATTCTTGGGCCAAATATGAGTTTTAACCCAAACTCATATTTGGGGCAAATTTAGCCCATAATTCTTTATGGATAAATGGGTTGGCCCACCATGTGACAGCCCGTCCCGAAATTTTCGTACCGTAAAGGTGAAATGACGGTTTTGCCCCTAATAGATAATTGTTGTTTGTGTGGTTGTTTTGGGTTCTTGGTTGGTTGCATCCCAGCCACACATCCATCATCATCCTTACCCCTATCTCTTGTTCTACCTATCTGTCCTGAGTCCCTCTCTCTCTTCCTTTCCTATCCTTTTCGTACGGACACCACCCAAAACCCTTGAAAACTTCACAGATCGAGGAAACAAGTTACACAGTTGTGCTTGTGAGGTCTTTAGGAGTTCAACCATACCCATTTCAAGTAAGGATACCTTCGTTTTCATGTCAAACTTGGGATCCCCCGATTTGGTCATTGTTCATGCACACGTTAATTCTTGTGTTTTTGGGAATTTCAAGCTTGTAGGAAGCTTGGTGAGGTCCTTAGAAGGCTCGGGGTGGTTCGTTTGAAGGTTTTGGACGTCAGGATCGTGAGTTGCAGGTTTGGCCGGAGTTGGTGGTGTTTTCCCGGCGAGTTTCGTGGGTTTTAGTGCTTGAAAGTGGTATGGATTTGTTCCTCTTGTTGTAAGCTTCATTTTGGTACCAATTCTGTGAAATTTGGTTGAAAAACGAGTGAGATATCAAGCTTTGAAATTTTCCCGGTTTTCCGGCGCCGGCGACTGCGTCGAAGTTTGGCCGAAGAAGACGACGGAATATTTCGTCAGTTTGGACAGAATATTCCTAACGGCGTTAATGGAATCCGTCAGAGTTAACGGAATATTCCTAATGGCGTTAACTGACGCCGTCAGTGTGCCAGGCACGTGCCTGCGCGTGTGGCCGTGCCTTGGCCGGCGCATGGGGGCTCGTGCGGCGTCGGAAAATTATTCTAAAAATATGGGGATGTTCGTGAGGTTGAGTAGATCACGTTGGTGTATTCATACACCCCATTTGAGCATTGTATGAGAAGTTATTTCGTAATGTTGGTTATGTGCTTTAAAATTAACGTATTTATAGTTGTTTCGCATATAGGTGAGACCTATCCCGAGGATGAGCGCAGTCACTCGAGGCAAGGGGTTATGACCCTTCTACATACCAGTGAGTGGGCTTTTGGTTTTTCGTATATATCTATATACTTATGTTTTTCCCAGAAAGTGAAATGAAACGTTTATACAATTTTATGCCATGCTTTATGTTTGCCGTTGATTATGCATTATTAGTTGCATATATATATGTATGTTGTTGCTGCGGACGCACAGGTAAGTGCCAGGTAAGTTATGGTTTATGTTTATGTTCAGTAGTGATTTGAGATGCATAGAGAGCTCATAACCTGTACCCCCGGTGTTAGTGCTCCCGCCCAGAGTAGGGCACAGTCCTTCACGTGATGTTCACCTTCCGCACCACATGCTCATCTTGGATCCAAATTAGGTGCACAGTTCTGTCGTACAGACCACTTTAGGTGGTTTCGACTCGTAGGTGACCTGTGATTATTCACCCAGTCTTCACGTGATTGTAGCACTTGAGCGTACTTATTATACACCCAGTCCTGTCATACAGACCACTTTAGGTGGTTCCGACTCGTGTGCAGGTATAGTCAGTGAGTTGGAGATTTGAGCTCTAGATTCGGCCGTACAAGTCACGTTAGGTGACTCCGACTGATCGATTACATGACATTGTTTGGCATTACCTGAGTACTTGCACTTTATATCGAGGCATTTGACATGACATATTTCCGAGCATGATTTATATATATGTATATATGCTATTTTTCTGGGATGTATTCAGGTTTTATGGCGAGGGGTTAGAACTTTGTTTATGAAATGGTTTTGAAAAACTTTGTTTTTGCTCACTCACGCTTTCTGTTTTGCGCCCCTCCAGGTTTTAGTTCAGCTAGCGCTTTTGGTGGCTCCCCAGATGATTTTTCCGGCTTATCTAACAGATTATCACTAGTGTAGGACTACCTTCGGGTGTGTTTATTTAGTGTTGTTTCTCCCGGACTGCATTAGATCTTCCGTGCTCTGAACTTTGTTTCTCACACTTACGCTTGCACATGTATGTTATTTACTTTGTGTATAGCTGAGTTTTTATTTATTCGTACTTTTATTATTTTTAGCTTCCGCACTGTGCACATGGTTACGTCACTTCCACGTGACGACCAGCATGCCCTGATCTCGGTCGGAGTGTGTCACACCATATATGTGTACTTTGTTTTAGTTTTATATTTATAAATGCATTGAATCCAACAGTAAAAAAATAGAAGATCTAGTGGTCCAAATTTAAGTCCATCAGCTAAATAATTTAGTTTTTTTTCATGTGTTACATATTATTTCATTGTGTTCCACGAGTTTCATAGTGTTAGATTAGTGATTTTTCAATATTTATCTGAATCTAATTTTTAAGTTAAAATGTTCATAAATTATATTAAGAGAGTCTAAATATATATATATATATATATATTTTTTTTGAAAGTTACTTCAAGAAAAAATTATTTAATTTTTTTTTAATAATCTCGAGCTGAAATTTTAACCCAAAAGGATTGAAATAGACAAATTGTTTATGGGTTAAAAATTTTAGGTTTTAACCGTTGGAAATGGTCTAAGCAATACCAATAGAGAAAAGAGAAAATTAATTTAAGATTGATGGAGAAAAAACTTATCTGTTAGTGCAGTTAAGTCTTGAACAATTTCCTTAGTGTGTGTAAATATAAAAGATTTAGATGGGAAAAAAATATATGGAAGAGAGAAATGTGAAAGTGGAGAGAGAGAGTGTGGAAGATGTTTATATATTATTTTTTATTGTCTAAAAACAAAAATATACTATGATAACATGTAAGTAAGATAAACAAACTGCAAAATAGTTAGTGCAAAATTATATTATTATTTTTTATTAAATTAATATTATAATCTAATGATGTTTTTCTAAATTATAATACTAAATGGATGTTAATAAGTAATTTAGATTAGACAATTCGATGTCATGTCAGATTTGGAAACGTATACCCATAAGTTTGAACCTTGCGGTTGTAGGCCCCTACCAAGGAATCGCATGCATAATTGGGCATTTAGCAAAAAGTATGTTTTTTAAAAAAAAAAAAAAAAAACCCTCCAAAATTATAACAAAAAAATTTTAAAAACCCAAATTTAGAATGAATAATTGAAAAAGAATTTAAATGCAGGTGATGTTTTACAACTGTAATGAAAAACGATCATACTTATGCATCTTTTTGTTAATTTAATTTTCATTAATTTTCTTTATTTTAACAACTAACTATTTAACTCTAGCATAATCGCGATACTAGAAAACAAAGAATTTTGATAAATTGATCAAGTAATTGCATATTTGTTTTATTTTTTTTTATTTTTGGAAGCAATTGCATATTTGTTTTTGGGCAAAAGTAATTGCATATATTATGCCTGGCTGGCTGTCTGAGAAATTAAAAATGGGGAAAAATGAAGAAAGAAGATGGAAGTATTAGGTGGTAACTGAAATGATTTCAATTGGGCAACGCTGAATAAAAGTCGTCTCCCTTCCAGCACTGACCGACGGCTTTTCTCTTCTCGATTTTCCTCTCAGTCCACCTTCCTTCTCTCTCTCCCTCTCTCTCTGACTCCCTCCACTTTCTCTATCTCAAAATCCCAGCACATACAATTAGATCAAACCCATTTTTCCGATTTCGTAATTAGAGGAGTCGCTGATCTTCCCTGACAGTGTTCGATTTCTGCTGCTCCTTAGATCCAACGCAGGACCCAGGAGGATCTCGATTGGATTTGGGGGAGCTGAGGAGTGGTGGCTTTCTCTCTGTGTGCGTATCGGTAGGGCTGGATCTGGGCGGCCATGGCGTTGTCAGGCATGCGAGGCCTCTCTGTTTTCATCAGCGACATTCGGAATTGCCAGAACAAAGAGCAGGAGAGGCTGCGGGTCGATAAGGAGCTTGGAAATGTCCGTACACGCTTCAAAAACGAAAAGGTTAGTCATTTAGGTTTAGGGTTTTCCCTCTTCGAATGTATTGTTGCGTTGCAAAATTCGTTCTTGTTAAGTTCGGGGCTTGGGAAATGAATGAGGATTTTGATCTGGGGCATGGAGGAATTGGTTCATTGCTTGAATTGGGGATTTGGGTTTTTCTAGGTGTTTGCTTGGCTGCTGAGAAACTCTGAGAAATGAAAGGAAACTGAGATTTTGGAATTTTGGGTAGGAAACTTAAAATTTGCAATTTTGGGTTTCTATTAGTATGTGGAAGGGAAAATGTGAAGTGAGCTTGAGGTGGATTCTGATTCCAAAATAAAGGTTACATAGTGTATACAATTATTGGCGTTTGCGGTGAATTTGGTGGCATCGGCATTCCCCTTTTGGCTTTCAAGCTTACTTAGAAATACCTTTGCTGTGGACTCGTTATTCGAGAGTGGTAATAGGAATTTTGTACCGCATATATTCCTTGGTGTTATAAATTCCATTGAGGTTAATATAATCAGCTCAATGAATGGAGAGTTGCAGTTGATGGGCTTCAAATGATAGGCATGAAAATCCAGAGGTGTTCGCCTTCACTTGCTTTGCTTTTAGTCTTTCTGATGAATAACATAGAACCTTATGGAGTTTTAGTTAATGTTTACCTAGTTAATATGATAGGTTTTGTAATCTCAAACTGAATTCTTGTTATGAGAGGGAATAAGATGGGAAGTGAATCCTAGTCTGTGCCTAGGGAGATTGGAGAACGCATGGGGATAGTCTTGACGTTTCGTGGCATTGCTTCAGCTAAAATGTGTGAGTGTTCCCTCATTTAAATTCTATTGTTTGTGGTTCTAAGTTTACACAACATCCATTTTGAAAATTTCAAGTTGGATTGAAATTCATCCATTTAATAACGTATACCTAGTTGTTCTTATACTGAATTTAAGACTCAAATCTGTAATCACATTTTGGTACCCTTGTGATTGGAACATGAATTGTTTCTATCCATTGAACTGAACTTGATGACTGACTAAATCTTTTACGTGTCGGCATACTGTAAAGGATTTAAAAGTAGGTAAATGTCACCTGTCATCTTTAAACTACTATCACGGTAAAATGGATGTTTGTATTAAATCAGAGATATAAATATTTTTATTAAAGCTTAATCTTTCCTGTGTTGAAGATAAAATGTTGTCAACATGTTGTCAGGACCCTAAAGTTTAAAGAAATGTGAGGGACCATGGGGTGGTATTCCACAAGGGTACCGCTGTACATGGGCTAGTCTTAGAAAGTGTCATGTATCCATGTCTTATTCCGTAATACACTCCCTGATCTTCACTATAATTCAAAATTGTGGTTGGATATTGACTATGGTTGAAGCGATGGTGATTTGTTGTTGACCTTTTCTAGTAGTTCTGCACCCTCACATCATATGTTAGTTACATCATATGTTATGTGTCACCACCACTCTTGTATTTTTGTTGAGTCAGTGAGCAATATAATTTCTCTACATTTTTTTCAACTTGCCATAGATTTAATGATCTATTCTTGGACTGTAAATTTGGCAACTTAAATCATCGGCTGTGAAGCAGTTAATTGTTGTATGTTGTTTGTTTTAGCCTTATACCAGAGATTGTTGCACCATCTGTGGATTTTAGATTTGGTCATCAAAGATGTACACTTATATTGACTCATTTTTAACTCATGAAAATTTGAAGCATTTTTCAATCTTCTGATTCTTTTTTCATCGTGTCAATCAAAAGTTATTATTCTGTGTTTGGGAACAATTATTTTGTACTGCCTTGGTGACGACTTCTGTTAGCTATTACTGGTGATGCTGTTCCAGCTCCCTGTACATCATTTTTTTGTGAATGACACAAATTTTTGGTGAGAGGAAGAAGAGTGAAGGTTAAGGGAGATGTTGTGTGATGACTGTGTTTTGGGCAATTTGCTTGGAGGACATAGGAGGATGTTTCATACATTTGGGGAAGAGGAGCTGAAGATTAAGTTTGTCTCTTGGTACTGTTATGTGCTTTGGTTTCTTTTGAGTTCTGGGAATTTTTTTTTCTTGAAATTTTCTCTGGCTCGGACGGATGCTGTTATTTAGGTGATTAGTGATGTTTTTAAATGTTTTTTTTGCAGTTTGTGAATTTCGGATCTTTATATGGTGGTTATCTTGTCCTCTGCATTGTACTTTTTTCATTTTATTCATAAAAAGTGTGCTAAATTATTGTTCTCTCTCTCTCTCTCTCTCTCTCTCTCTCTCTCTCTCGTCAATGGTCATTTGACATCAATTATCTTTTGCTCTGATTTGTGCCTTTTTATTTTAATTTAATGTTATATAATAAAAAAAACGAAGCAAATACATTGTTCTCTTTTGTCTTTTCTCTTTCTCAATAATGTTTTTGACATTAGTTATCTTGCAACACAAATCCTATACTGTCTTCTCTTTGGTTTTGCATAGATTCTGTGGCATAGGTTGGGACATAGATCAATATTGTATTTTTTTTCTTAATTGTTAGAGGTCTATTTCCTTATGAAAATCACTATATTACTCAATACTGTATCTGTTTTTTTACTGCGTGCTCACGCTATTTAGCTAACCAAAAGGGTGACTGGTTAATGAAATTATCTTTAATTTTATCAACAGGGTTTGACACCTTATGAAAAGAAGAAATATGTCTGGAAAATGCTTTACATTTATATGCTGGGCTACGATGTGGATTTTGGGCACATGGAAGCAGTTTCTCTAATATCTGCGCCTAAGTATCCAGAAAAGCAGGTGATACATTCTTTTCATATCAATCTAAAAATAGACTAGGGGCTAGTTTGGGAAGTGCTTTTAAATGACTGAAAGCGCTTTTAGAGAAAATATATTTGGGTTCCAAAAGCACTTGAAGTGCTCTTCCAGGATTAACTTGCATTTTTAGTACAAACTGGTTTCAAAAATATTTTCTCTAAAAGCAGTTTAAGTCATTTAAAAGCTCTTCCCAAACGAGCTCCAGCACTATTTTTGCACCTTGCTTGCATGTATGGAAATATAGCTTGGAAGTTTACGAAGTAAATCCCTACTCTTCATTTTCTTTTCTTGTATATTAACCAATGGAAACAGTGATAGACATGTGTTTCGGTGTCACCATTCGTCACTCATATACCAAGTAGGTGTGGTGTATGAATTTGAGGTGATTTGAATTGTTTTCTACAATATTACCTCTTGCTCTCATACCAAGACCCCGAGTGGGTTAACTTTGTGAACACCACGCTGCTCAAAGTTCACCTGCTGACCTGGACTCCCATGTCCAGTTTTATACTTATAAGAATATAGTATTATATGGTACTTCTGCATGCATTTTTTATAATATAAACTTTAAAAAAATGCATAGTTTTCTTCTCATGTGATTAATTTTCAATGATAGTAACCTAAACCTTTAATTCTATTATATTGCTTTAGCTTCCATCTCCCAAAAAAAAAAAGTTAATCTCACACTCTAATTGACTTTCAATTATGCGAACATTTATTGCAGGTTGGATACATTGTAACAGCATGCTTGCTCAATGAGAACCATGATTTTCTGAGAATAGCGATAAATACCGTGCGCAATGACATCATTGGTCGGAATGAGACCTTCCAATGTTTGGCGTTGACTATGGTATGGCCATAGAAATTCTGTTAGGTGTTCAGAACATATTATTCAATTTTATTTTGAAATTGTTAGTGATAATGATGAGATATGATCTTATCTTCTATTTGTCTTCCATAATAATATACAATATTAAATAAGTATTTTTTGAGTAATATCTTGCACGTTTTATTTGGGTAGGTTTTTTCTTAACCTATCGCTTCCATGCTGTCTTTTGTTTGTCTTATTATTCTTGTGTCCCTAATGTACCAATCATTATTTCATTTGTATTCTGCTCTGTAGGTTGGGAATATTGGTGGCCGAGAATTTGCGGAGTCATTAGCACCTGATGTTCAAAAATTACTTGTAAGGGGAAGTGGATTTTTTATGTTTGGTTGAAATTAATAGAAAATGATGCTGTTGACTAAGTGTTTTTTATTCAGATTTCTAGCAGCTACAGACCACTTGTGAGAAAAAAGGCTGCACTATGTTTATTGCGCTTGTATAGAAAAAATCCTGATGTTGTGAACGTAGATGGCTGGTACGTGAACATGGGATTTTCTTCACTATTATTCCAATTTCCAATACTAATGCCTTTTGTGCTTATTTGATGGGTCTCTCTTTTTCTATTATTTTAGGGCTGACCGGATGGCACAACTTTTAGATGAACGTGATCTTGGTGTGTTAACATCATCTATGAGCCTTCTTGTTGCCCTTGTATCAAACCACTATGATGCTTACTGGAGTTGTCTGCCAAAATGCGTTAAAATATTAGAACGACTTGCTAGGAACCAGGATATTCCACAAGAGTACACCTACTATGGCATCCCATCTCCCTGGCTTCAGGTTTGTAATATATACATTTTTTTTTGTTTTATTTGTTAGACTTCTTTGCATGTACTGGATATCAAATAAATTCAGCCACCTATCCTTCTGATTCAGATTTATCCTGTCAAATCTATTTTATTAAAACGATTGTAGCTACCTCTGCTTTATGTCTTTTTTCTGTGCCATCTCCTCTTGTTGTTGAACCTTTCACCAATTACAGTGGACGGTGTCATTTTCTTCTTGCATGGGCCAGAGTACCATATACCCAGCATGATCCTTGCTATTTTAGATCATAACTCAACCAGCCTTACAGCTTAAACTTCTAGAGCATCCTAATAAAAGAGAAATTTAGCAGATGTGGCATCATTTTGTCTTCTTCGGATTTAATAGTAGTTTGTTAGGCAAAAGCTTTTTCTGGGGTTCAAAACTCTGATGATATTGAGTCATCTTTAAGTGGCATTGGCCAGTACTTGAGAATATTTTTATTTTCTTGCTGTGCCTGGACAATTTACTGGGGCATTGTCTCTATCGTTTAACTTTGTTGGATAGTCACTACGGCCCATAAGGCTTGGCTTTAGGCATTGCTTGGGTGAAATGGTGAGCTGGAATGTAATGCATTCAGTAGTTTGTAGCATTGGGTGCATATAAACGAATTTGTGTTATACTATAATTTTTGTTAGGACAGGTCAGGACAATGAGGGCTCTTCAATATTTTCCGACTGTCGAAGATCCAAATACCAGAAGATCATTGTTTGAGGTCCATTTTCTGTCAAGAACTTATTCTCAGTTGTGGTGTTATATTTTTTGCATCTATTAAACCTTGTACTGGTGATTTCAGGTCTTACAGCGGATTTTGATGGGTACTGATGTTGTGAAAAATGTTAATAAGAACAATGCATCACATGCTGTTCTCTTTGAAGCCCTCGCTCTTGTAAGCTTTCTGCAGTACTTTTTATGTATGATTGTGGTATTCAGGCACCATTTATTGAGAGTTTCCTTTTAATATGTGCGTAGACAGTTATACTTGCATATAGGTACACCTATTTGGCTGACTGTTTTTAATTCCTTTGTAATTCCTGTATCTTCTATTTGTTTTTGGCATTGATTTCCACTAAATTCAAGTCTTTTGTGCCGCAAGTGAAAGCAACAAAATATGGTCTCTGTGCATACGTGTATAAAGCATATATTATTTGCAGACATGCCATGTATGTATGTGCGTGGAATCATATGAACAGTTTCCCTTATAAATTTGTAAAATTGGTTTACTCTTGATTATTCCTCCTGCCCCCTTCTTTGTAGGTTAATCAATATTTTTTAAATGTTTATAAATTTGCGTTTGTGCAGTCATCCGAGATTATGACATTTGTACTTAAATTAGTTCAGAATATTTTCTTTGCTAGCTATCTTTGAAACTCTGTTTCCTTTTCTTCAGAGCACACACAACACGTGTCTCATCTATTATTTTTTTAAAGGCAAGTGATTCTTATGTACTTCGCATTATCATTGCCCAATTTTAGGTCATGCATCTTGATGCTGAAAAGGAGATGATGTCTCAGTGTGTTGCCCTTCTTGGAAAATTTATTGCTGTCCGAGAACCAAATATCCGATATCTTGGTTTGGTAAGTGGTGAAAACACTTATGGTTTCTTAATTCTTATTAAAAAAGTATCAATTGATAAATAATACATTTTTTTTTCATTCATTTTAATGCAAACCGTGACTGAAGAAAACTAAGGAAACTGTGACTATAGCTTAGAAGAGTAAACATTTTGCTACTGGATATGTGCATGATTTGAAGTCACATTGCTTGTGTAGGAAAATATGACCCGCATGTTAATGGTGACTGATGTGCAAGATATCATCAAGAGACATCAGGCTCAGATCATCACCTCATTGAAGGATCCAGATATCAGGTTACAGTTGTTATCTATTTGGATACTTGCTGAACATGTTAGATATCTGGATTTTTTTCTGTAAAAAACATCATTATTTTTTGTTTTGTAGCTGCTCTTATTTTAGTGCTCCCTTTTTCTATATCTTTAACCATTTTTGCTTACTGACATTGAATTATGTGCTCAGTATACGTAGGCGTGCTCTAGACTTGCTTTATGGTATGTGTGATGTTTCAAATGCAAAAGATATAGTTGAAGAATTATTGCAGGTATATCCAATGCTCGGTGTGGTCTAGTTGGTTTAATAGGATTTTGGTAGATTGTCTCTTGTTTATATTAGCACACATTTATTTTCTCCAAATTTCATTTGCATTTCAGTATCTTAGCACAGCAGATTTTGCCATGCGTGAAGAATTGTCTCTTAAGGCTGCCATTCTTGCAGAAAAGTTTGCCCCTGATCTTTCTTGGTAAGAGTCGAACTCATTTTGTTCTTTCATATATCCAATTCGTTTGAAAAGCATGGTCCTTCTCTGAAAGGAATATGATATTGGATAAATACGCGCATGAAGAAATCGAAAACAGGCCTATGATTCTGAGTTATTAAGCAACTGGGGATAGAATTAACTAAAATATCCAATGTGATGTAGAACCTGGTAGGCAGCTAACAGTGAAAAACAAAGAGAAGATGAGTGGATACTCAGGGAATAATAGGTGAAGAGACAGAGAAGCATGAGGTTCATAACGTGTATGGTGACTCTTGTTTTAATTTAAACTCATGTTTTGCTTATGAGGATGTATGAGATATGTAGGTTACCATTATAAAAGTGGTGATTTTCATGACCTTTTGAAAGTGTGTTTCCGTTTTTGTTTTGACATCTTTGACTCATTATGTGACATTTTACTCTGAAACTACATTTACTATTTCCATCAATGTCTAGTACAAACTATACCTAAGATGACCTAAGATGTGACTGAATGGTGAAAGCAGATCAATTTACCTAGCTTCTTTGTTTCTGGTTTATGTTGTATTCTACTTTGCTACTCGGGTTAGATAGGGTTAGGCTTTATTGAGTTTATTACACACACGCGCACGCACACACATATATTTGAAAAGGTAGTATCAATCAATTTTTTGACTGGGTGGTTGATTCTGTTAATTACTTCTATTCTTCTGGATCATTCTGGGCATCTCTTTCATTATTTGTGGACTCTTGAAGTAAATGTATTATGGGAAGTAAACCTTTGTCAATTGTGGACTCTTGAAGTAAATGTATTATGGGAAGTAAACCTTTGCCAATGGTTTGCATAATGATATTGTACAGGTATGTAGATGTGATTCTTCAATTAATTGACAAGGCTGGAGACTTTGTTAGTGATGATATATGGTTTCGTGTTGTGCAATTTGTTACAAATAACGAAGACTTACAGGTTAGAGTGCTTTAGTGCAATTTGATTGATACATATGTTCATCTTAGTACCTATATGACTGACATGGTATTCACTTGATCAGCCTTATGCAGCAGCAAAAGCTAGGGAGTATTTAGACAAACCTGCTATACATGAGACTATGGTTAAGGTGCGTATAGACTATGATTTGATTTTCCGGACAAGCTTTAATTCAATATGAGAGATTATTGTATGCTGGATTAAGTAGCATGTTCTCTGTAAGACTTGTGTTGTCAGAATGTGAATCTGGACTACACATTGACATTCTGGCCAAAATCAACATGATCGATGTCCCAAGTTCAGTCTTGAAAAAGAATATTTTCTGGCATACGAGAGAGAGAGGGAGAGGGAGAGAGGGGGGGGGGGGGGGGGAGGGATTGAGAGCTTAGCTTACATAAGGAAGTTAGAATTGGCTTTGCTAGGAGTTTCTTTAGAAATTTCATTGGCATGATGTCATACACCTTGCTGCCAATAGGTATTTAGTAAGGTCACTACTTGTCCACTGATATTGTACCTTTTTTACTTCTCTTTCTGTAATAAATAAAATTAGTATGTCTTATATAAAAAAATAGAAGATAAGGAGGCCGAGAATTGTAAGATCGTTCTTAATGGAGATTCTCATTATGTTCTAAAAAGAGTCCTATGGTTTTGGGTTCTAAGTTGCAAATTCGTCTTGGGGCAGAATATTTCTGTAACACATGATTTTCAAGAGTATCATTTCAATTTCAGCGTTCCAATCTTTAGTGTTCATTATTTCTCTTGCATATTTTTCTACCAAATTTAACCATCTAAATAAAATAGATGGCTTGATTTGTTTGGAATCAATACACATGCAACAGGTCAGTGCATATATCATTGGAGAATTTGGCCACCTTTTGGCCAGACGGCCTGGGTGCAGTCCGAAGGAATTATTTAGTGTCATACATGAGAAGCTTCCTGCTGTAACGTAAGGGAACTTAAATCTTTCTCTGTTTCTTAGTCTTGCTAAATCCAGTTATCATTTATGTATATATCTTACAGACTGTATGATGTATTTGCAGGACATCTACGGTACCTATTCTTCTTTCAACATATGCTAAGATCTTTATGCACACTCAACCTCCAGATCAGGAACTACAGAATCAGATCTGGTCAATTTTCAACAAGTGAGATTGCCCTCTGCACTTCTACTTTCATGAATTGGTTATTTTTTGTTTTCAAATTCTGTGTTTTTCTTTATTGCATGGTTGATTTGAGCAATATTCAGCAAGAAGTGGGGTTGTCTTTTGCATCTTTACTTTCATGACTTGGTTCTCTTTTGTTATTAAATTCTATGCTTTTCCTTGGCTCATAATTTCTTCCATTCAGATATGAGAGTTGCATTGATGTTGAGATACAACAAAGAGCTGCTGAATACCTTGCCTTAAGTAGGAGAGGTGCAGCTCTGGTGGATATTTTGGCTGAAATGCCTAAATTTCCCGAGCGGCAGGTAGATTTGTTTTGCACTTTCCTTCAGATGATCAGCTAGTTCACAACACTATCAATTTCTTGGAAATTATTGAAACAAACTTTAATAGTTATATTTTTGTTTAATATGTAGTCTGCATTGATCAAGAAGGCTGAAGATACAGAAGTTGATACAGCAGAACAAAGTGCTATCAAGTTACGGGCCCAGCAGCAAACATCGAGTGCTTTGGTTGTGACTGACCAGCACCCTGCTAACGGGACCCCGCCTGTCAACCAGCTTGGTCTTGTCAAGATGCCTAGCATGAGCAGTAATGCGGTTGGTATTGTTTATCTTTTCAATAACGATTCTGATTTTTCTTTCATTCTGTGTATATAGGGTATGCATATTGTAGTTTCACATACAAATATTATGTCTTATTTTGAGTGAATATTGATGCATGTTTGGGTATTGTTACAGGATCACAATTCAACTGACCAAGGGTTGTCTCAGGAAAATGGTACTTTGAGTCAAGTTGATCCTCAGGCACCTGCAGCAGATATACTTGGTGATCTATTGGGTCCCCTGGCTATTGAAGGCCCTCCCGCTACTGCTGGTGGGCCTCAGCAGAATGTAATCCCTGGATTAGGAGGTGATCCAGATGCCGTGGATGCTTCAGCAATTGTGCCTGTTGGTGAGGAGCAAAATTCTGTTCAGGTACTTGCTGTAAACATTGTAGGCAATCATTTCTGTGTGCTGTATTTCTTCTAAGTTCTAAGTTCTAAGATGTAGGTGGAACTTGAAAGTGTTAACTATTAGATAAATGTGTTTTTGAAGTAATTGTGTTTTATGAGTAGCTTAATGCGCTACTATTAGATAAATGTGTTTGCCTTTGATTCTTGTTTTTTGTCGTTTATACTTATTTTCTAATACATGTAACTAATTTTACAATTCTTAAATGCAGCCAATAGGAAATATTGCTGAAAGGTTTCATGCTCTCTGCTTGAAGGATAGTGGTGTTCTTTACGAAGATCCTAATATTCAGGTTTTCCCCCAAATTATAACCATATTTTTCTTGTTTATAGATGTGATAGTTTCCACATTTTCTTCGAGAGAGATTATGAAAATTCATCAAGGCCTTATTAGGCTTATAGTGACATTCATGTGATGTTATGCCAGATTGGAATTAAAGCCGAGTGGCGGCTACATCAAGGATGTTTTGTTCTTTTCTTGGGAAACAAAAATACTTCACCACTTGTGTCAGTTCAGGCTATAATATTACCTCCCTCTCATTTGAAAATGGAGCTCTCACTAGTACCGGATACCATTCCTCCCAGGGCACAGGTACTAAATGATACTGTTGTAATTAAGCTTTGGTGGTTGATCTCTCTCTTTCTCATATTTAGTAGCTTTGTGTGTTTTTTTTTTTTTTTTTTTTTTTTTCCTGTTCTGTAGGTACAATGCCCGCTTGAAGTAGTGAATCTCAGACCTAGCAGGGATGTAGCAGCTCTTGATTTTTCCTACAAGTTTGGTAACAATATGGTACTTACTCTAAAAAATTCTTGTGTTTTTTTAGTGTCCTATGAAGCAGACAATAGGTCGTATGATATTTGTTGTAGATACTTATAGTAACCATTTTGTAGGTCAATGTCAAGCTTCGCCTCCCAGCTGTCTTAAATAAATTTCTTCAGCCTATTCCAGTGTCTGCTGAAGAGTTCTTTCCTCAGTGGAGATCACTTTCGGGGCCACCTCTGAAGCTTCAAGAAGTGGTATGTCTGTCAAGGATTTGTCACATTTTGTTATATTTGTATTGAAGAAATTCCTTTTACGTGTTGAAAATGATTGACAACCATTTATATTGACGGAGTGAATTCTGATGACATAATTGCTTATTAGTCTCTTTCGGTTAATCTTTTACTGAATAATTAATATAATTGTTTATGGTGATGTGTCATAATCTACTGGAAAGCAGGATGATAGAACCTGTTAACTGTTACACATCAGAATAGGAAACACATGATAACCATTTTGTAGTAAATTTTTAGCATTGTTCAGTCGGTTTATCGCTAATCCCAGGTTGAGGTTAAATTCCTATACATTGGCTAGCTACTTTATTTAGCAATGTGGTGATATTTTCCAGTAAACGGTGCAGGTTAGAGGTGTCAAACCAATGCCACTTGTAGAAATGGCGAATCTACTTAACAGTTTTCGGTTGATGGTTTGTCCGGCACTTGTAAGTTCCCTTCCTATGTTTAAATTTTTCTTGCTAGTCTGCCAGTTATTTAAGGTGGTCACTAATTTATTCTCTATTTTAGGACCCAAATCCAAATAATCTTGTTGCAAGTACAACGTTTTACTCAGAAAGTACACGGGCCATGCTTTGCTTGGTAAGAATTTTATGTTTGTTTCCAGGACTGTAGAATTAATTGGTGGATTTGATTCCACGACTTTCGCTATTATGGCACAGCTGAAACCCCAATTGTCGGTTTATTGTTATAGATACAAAACTACATTGCTTGGCCTTTCCCTTGTATAGGAATTTTATTAAGTTTTAGGAACTATCCAAAACTTTATGAGAAAATGACACTTCAGAATTGTAACAGGTTAATGAAAGTTGCTTGTTTATGCTCCTCAGGTTAGAATAGAAACAGATCCAGCAGACAGAACACAGTTGCGTATGACAGTTGCTTCAGGGGACCCTTCATTAACGCTCGAGTATGTATTGCTAATGTTAAATTTTTCAGCTTTTGGAAGATAGAATCCTCTGACCTCTGAGTGATGTGTAGGTTGAAGGAGTTCATCAAGGAACAATTAGTTATCATGCCTACAGCTCGCGCACCTGGACCGGTGCCACCAGCACCTCCAGTAGCTCAACCGACCAGTCCAGTTTCAGCATTAACGGACCCTGGGGCTATGCTGGCCGGCTTGCTGTGACAAAGTGAAGGTGATGTGTGAGGATTTGTTCATTATTATACACTCGTAAATCTGATTTATACAACCTGCCCAGTGGTCTCTCTCGCGCAAAGTTCAAGTGGTGGACAAAGAAAATCCCACTGCAAGGGCTAGCGGAATTGAAGTGTGAGCTGATTTGTGCGGGCAGCATTAGTGTGAGTGGATATTTCCACGGGTAGTTGGTCGGGGTTTTTAGATTCTTTATGTACAATGCAATTGTGCCTACGTGAGAAATTTTCTCGGTTTTGGGGTGAGGGTATTTTTCTTTTTCTTTCTCGTTTCACATTTTTTCCCCTTCCCGGCGGCAGCGGATTGGTTTCTGTAGTTACGGGGACTTGACAGGAGAATGTAAGATATCATGAAGTAGATTAGTTGTAGTAGAAGCTTGTATTTGTTTGTTGCCGATGCATAAATTTGTTATTCTCAGTAATACAAACGATTGGGTGATGTGCAGTGTGATATGTTGCCCCGAACGCCACTCGTTTGTATAATACCTTTCTTCTTCTTTCTGTCTTTCTTTCTGTAGAACCCAAATTAGTTTTAAAACTACAGATTTACCACAACTTGTCCTTGTACGGGAGTAATAATTTAGGTGGATGACTTTTGCAAGATTATAAGAGCATTTGCACCAATTGGTGGTTTGGGGGGTGCAATCGCAATTAGAAGCCTAGGGCAGTACAATTGCTCTTACTATTCACTCTAAACCGTAATTGCCTTTGTGCAAATTTATCAGTTTGGAAGGAGGAAGGGTAAGGAGGATTACTATTAACATATACAATTTTTTTTAATTTTTTACTGAATGTCTAATTACAACAAACATAATTAAAGTCTAATTCCAATAATAGGATTGTAGTAAAACAAAAATTCAATTGTGTGAAGAAAGAAGAATATGGTTGGGTATTTATAGAAAAAATTTGGGTATTTTTATCCAAGCAGTTGATTTTCAAAATTATAACCTTCGGAAGGTCAGGATTCTACCATGTGGCAGCTAACCACAAAAGAACAATTTTTTTTTCGCGTTGGAGGAGTTCAGATTAAACGCTCAGATTCGAAAACCAATGGTTCAGATTAAAGGACAGTTAGAAATTCAACAGGTGCATTTTCACCCAAAAATAGCGGTTTGGCTAGGGCTCATGGTTGTCTGCTGCTTCAATTGTGAGCTCCTCCCCTTGCAACAATTGACAGGGCTCCCCTGTCAACTGCCCTTCATTTTTGCAATTGCTGGAGTAGATTATGATGGGTTGGGAGACAATTTTTTCCAATTGCAAGGGCAACTCCACAGGGGTGGAGATGCTCTAAATAAATCGGAAGATTCCGAAAGCTATGGGATCAAAGAAAAAACAAATAATCTGCTCTCTTTTTCTTTCCGCTCTTCCTGTTTCGATTATTGATTGTGCAATACTCTTTCAAATAAACCTAACTTGGATGATAAAGAAGGAGGATAACAAAAAAAAAAGAAATGCATTTCAAAAAGCTGAAAAAAGCAAAGCAGAGGTCAGGTTACATGGCCAGAATTTGAGAGGTTTTTTTAGTTACCTCCAATATCTTAAGGAACAAGTGTAGTGACAAAATTATATATCTTATGAGATATATTGTCTAAAACTTTTCAAAAAAAAATATTTTGATAAACTGTTAAGACATTGCTGTTTTTTATTTTATTTTTTACTGACATTTGACGAGATTATAATAACATTTAACATTTATTTTTAATGTTGCATGATAAATGTGTGACTGTTTCGTTAGACACAAAAATTTCATGGTTTTGATTTGGAAATTGATTTTTTTTTCCTTTTTCGTATTATAATTTGATGCTATATTTTTTTCATTCATTTGCACAAAAAATTGTCTGATAGATACACTGTAAGATGAACACAAAATAAAAAATAAACACACCATCAAGCATGCGAGAAGTATGAACTCCAATTTTATTTTATTTTATTTATTTATTTATTTTTATGCAGCAAATGATATGCCACCAATTAAATTTGTACTTTAATTAAATTTAGAATTTGATCAGTCATTGAGCTACAAAGTTATAAGGTAAAAGTACATTTTGACCCTCAAGTTTTTCGTCCAATTTCAAAGTCATACAACCTTTTTAAAATTTTTTAAATTTCATACAACGGTTTACGATTTCATACTAACGTTGTACAATCATTAATTACTCCGTAAATCTGATCATTAAGTGATATCATGTGGTAAGCGCAGATCCCACATCTTGCTGACTTTGAGTCCAAACTCGTGCCAAGTGGTTAAAACAGATTAAGAGAAAAAAGTTTAGTTCACAATAGGTGGCACAGGAAAAAAAAATATCTATAATTTAGGAATTAAGATAATTGAGAAAATACTTCAAAAACAACATCTTGCACGAGAGAAGGAAATTATTTGCACAAACAACTTTCCACAATACCAAAAAGCTTCCTCAGTACGACCTGATTTCATAACAAGAAAACTGTGGTTGGGATTTCATTTACACAAGCAATTCAATCAGATAAGCACAAAAAACCTGCTTATCGTCTGAACTCTGTTCAGACCCAAAAAAAATATGACGGCAGTGAAACAATAACACCCCATTTTCCGGTTACGGAAAAATCGGCCACTTTACGTTAGAGCTCCAAACCCCCTACTACTACATTGTGGTGCCTCACTATTTAAATGGGAAGTCATAATTCAGCTTCCCGAACTTCTCAATGTAACTGAATCTGACTGAGAAACTGCCGGGGGAAGGTAATAACTGTATCATCAGTCCGCCAGAAGCAGTACCATTAACAAATTAACTCCGGGGTTAGAGAACTGAAATTTCCATATTTGATATCTTGCCTTTCTCATAAATCAAAAAATTTAACCATCAAGAGTCGTTACCTTGCAAAATCTTGTCCAGAAGATATCCCTCTAAAAATTGTTTACAGAACAAAGCCTGAAGCCTTAGGATGGTAAAACAGCTACCGCCACTCTCTGCACTGGCCACACTTCCAGCTTCCATTCACTGGTGATGATTCAGTCCAAGGAGAACACTCATTGTGTATCAATAGCCCACAGTTCTGGCAGGAAAGATCGGGGGATGGTTCTTGAAATGAACACACCTGACATTGCATCATATCAACAGCAGACTTTACTTCATCAGTGAAAGTAGCCATGTTATACTGATCAGAGCCTCCATCCTGGAAAACTGTATATTGGTTTTCCAGATTTCCTGATTCATCTGCAAATGCTTCGAATCCATCCAACTGGTCACCATCATCAGGTGCAAGCAACTCATTGATAGTGAAGACAGTTTGCGGTTCCATATTCTCATAGTTCAGATCTTCATAGTCATGCACCATCTCACCTTCAAATCCATTCATGGAGGCATCCCATTCAACATGGGATGGTGCAAAGTCCATGGAATTTGACAGGTAATTCATTTCACCATGTGTAGATATTCCAGGATGAGATATGTTACTCTCATGAAAGCCATTGACATCCTCTTCACGCTTAATACCCCTTCTCACTGGTAATTTCCTAGGCCCTGGCTCAGCAGTATTCCATTGAGCATTAACTTCCGAATCGTACTCTGTAACTAACTCAACTTTAGCGAGAGAAAAGAGAAGAGGATCACCATCCTGCATGGGCACTTTCCTCCATGGGAAATATTGGAGTAGCAGGTTCGTACAATTTAGAATCAGATATGGAAATGGTTGCAGAATCAGAGTCCTCTCCAACTGTTTCTTGCTTTGAACGCCTAGTGTGAACCTTCTTGTTCTCAAGCATCTTTATGTTTTTAGAATCAGTGTAAGGACACAAAGGTGATTTTATCCTCCGACACTTGCAACACTTGAAACCAGCCACTTCAGAAATCTTTGACTCGTCGAGCTCAACAGCTTCGGCATGGTACCAATCTGCATCACCACACACATAATCCACCTTAGACACACACACGCTCACAGAGAGAGAGAGAGAGAGAGAGAGAGATAGCCAAAAATACCACTTATGGGACCATACTTACTTTTGCAAGTTTCGCAGCATATATACATCAGATCTGACTGATATGGCATATGGCACAAGTGGCAAACAGGATACAACCCATGCACTTCTGAACCATCTGCAAGAAGTATGTTATTAAGCAGGAAATCAGTGTCAGTTTCCTGGCCGTTCTTCTTCTTCCATATAATACCCCAAGAACAAATGCCGCGACGTTTTTTTGCTGCCAAAGCAGACTCTGAAGTTGCTTTCTTCTCGGAACGGGTCCCTTGTCCTTTGACGTGTGTTACTGGTTGATTGTAATTTTTGGTCCGTACAACACTGGTGACTGTCATGGGAGTTTGATATTCTTGCATTTGCAAGTGCAAAGGACTAGTTGGAGACTCCTTCAAGTTTTCATTTTTAGTGAAAGCCTTGCATGGTAGCACTGCTTGCAAGTGATCAAGAACTCAACCTCTTCATTTATAGAAACTGTTGAACTCATGGTACAGTCCTCATGACAATAACCTGACAACAATACAGAAGAAATTGCAAACATTGGTAAAAAAAACTTTAAATACGTTTAAGAAGTTGGTATTTGATCATATAATTAGCAAATCCTGCATTTTAAAAAAGTAGTTACTTAGCAACTCTTGCTTAAATCACATTTTTTAAGAGATTCCTAATTAAAACACTACATTTGTAAAGACTAAAAGAAGGTTGTGTCAATGTACCTTGACAGATGCTGCACTTGAATGCATTCCTGAATTTACAACAGAGAAATAACGACTCAGTTTTTGACATAGCAGTATAGAGAACTTAACAATTAAAAAGAATAAATCATATGTTGTAGTTACCGCATTAAAACATTCAGTTGACATGAAGAGCAGGAACACAAGTCCAGATTATCTCTCTTGCACACAAGATAGAAAAATATGTCCCTGCGGGGAACCTTCCACTGCTGTTTCTGTAACTTGCGAAACATATTCAAAGGCTCCTCAGCTGATGGCAAAAGAGCTTTGCCCACCCTTTCTTCATATTCTTTAATCAAATATAAAGGAATGCGCAGTTCAGGAAACCAAAACTTGTTATATCCATCTTGACTTTCCTCTGTTTCAATGATACTCTTCATTACACGGTTAGGCAGATGCTTTTGACTACCGAAATCAACCCCATATATGGTACTGTTCTTCACAGATTTTTTATCACATATATTTGCATTTCTAAAAACAGATGCATCTGTCTCCACACCCTTCCCATCGGGGAGGTTCTGCTCAGGACGAACAAGATCACTCCATCTCAGATGATAGTCCAAATATCTGACCTGGTGAAATATTACAGTTTAAGTTTCTTAAGTTATCAACTACATACATCACCAGGTAACTTAAAATGTTGCCAGGCCAAGAGATATAGGGGTGAACAGAGCAAGGAATTTATGTATTTGCAAGAAAATAACAAACCTGAAGTGCAAGCTGTGATGCGTTCTTACTCATTTCAACTGCAGCCCTCCATACTGACTGCCTGCTTCTTTTGGGAATCTCAGAACCATCAGCATAAGATATACCAGGAA